TATTTCCTAAGAATGTGATATCGGTTTTTTTATTTTGTTTTATATTTGTGCCAGGATTAAAATGGTCTGATGACGGGGTCAAGCTTATGATATTTCGGTACTAAGTCTAGTGTCATTTTTTCTGTTATTGGAAGAAAGATAATCTGGATTTCTTGTTTCGAGAGAGGTATATTATCTTTGGAATTTAGCAAATTAGAAATTCTATCAATTGTACAATTCGAACGTAAATCAGGGGGTCCTGGTAAATTTACGCTGTCTGCCAAGCTTTCCTTTTCTTTTAAAGGAAATAGAATATTCTTATGTATTTTTGTTGGTTTAGATGTTTTTTGTCGTGAATTGTTTTTGATCCATGATGAATATGGTATTGTTTTGAATGTCTTTTTTCCTAATAAATCATTTTCATAATGATTATTATGGCGATTGAGATAAAATAGATATCTTCTAGATTATTCATTTGTGTAGTAACGGGGTTGATTCTTACTGCAAGGCAAAATTTTATGTTTTGTGGTATTTCTACGTTTGGTTTCCGTGTTATTAATTTAGGTGGTGTATTTTGACCTAGCGTGTCCCGTAGGGAAAAGTTTTTTCTAGCTGTCCAAATTACATGTAGCTTTGAGAATTTCATTAGAATAAGTTGAAACCTATAAACTCTATGCTTTGGGTTTAACTTTTGTGTAAATAGAAAAAATTTTTAATTTCTGATCTGTAAATAGAACTGTTTTGATCCAAGAATTAAAAATTCATTTTCTGTGAGAGTATATTTATTAGCTGTACATTTTTTCATAAGTGTAGAGAGTCTAAGTTCCGGTTGTGTAAAAAGTTTTGAATTTGCAATCACATATGGCATTGTTCTTTTATGTTATTGCAAGAGTGCTGCACCAATTCCGAAGTTTGAGGCATCGCACATAGCATAGAATGGTTGATCTGTGTCGGGAATTGTGTTTGAGATTTGCTCTGTGAGAAGGGTTTTATTTCATCAAAGCGTTACTGATGTTCCAATGTCCATTCAAGTTTGTTTTGCTGTTGGAGCATATTATAAAATGGTCTTAAGTATAGTTGCAATTTTTAATTATATTTTCTTGAAAAATTTAACATTGCCAGAAAATCTTTGATTTTTTTTTGCTAGATGGGGAATGAATTTTTATGAAAGCGTCTATTCGCGAATTTAGGAGAGTAATTGTACTTCTTTCAATAATATGTCCAAGAAATTTAACGCGAGTGAGAAAAAAATGTGATTTGTCTGGGGCTGCTTTCATGTTTTCCTTTAGTAAGATCTGATGATATTATTCTAATACCATAAACATTTCTTGCTTTGTTTGTGACTGTATGAAAACATCGTCTTATTGTGTGATAACATTTTTGCTTCGAATGATTCGTCGAAAAATTAATGCTGAAAAAGTAGCTGGTCCTATAGATATCCCATAGAATAGTCTGTTAAATTCGTTTTGTTGATTTCCAATAACGAATTGTTTTAGTTGTCGTGATTGTTTCTCTAGTGGTATTTGGTTGTATGCACTATTCACGTCAGCAGTAGTGTAGTTTTGTCCATTTACTTTTGTTAGTTTTATTTGTATTGGTTCTATGGGCCAGTTACATTTAGATTCATTAATTAGGGAATTGAGATATTTTGCGTCTAAAACAAATTTTAGTGTTTCGCACTTAACGAAAATGATGGCGTGATTAAAAAAAAAGTTTCTCTTTGGTTGTTTGTCTTCATTTACTGCTGATATGATTTCATATTGCTCGAGAACGTCTAATAATCTGTTTACTTTATCCTGTAAGTGGATTGGTACTTTAATTGATTGTTATTTTTTGAAAACTGCGTCCGGTTTAAGAGCAAGATGTAATGGTGAATGTGTTTATTCAAAGCTAAATTTAGATGCAGCGTATACCATTGTGTACTTTAAAATTTTTTCTGCTAATTGATCAATTCCTTGTTGATTAATTTGAGAACGCTGAAAATTGAACTTTAAGAGAAGTTTTTGTTGATCATGTGTATATTTTGAAATTTGGAATATGGGTTTGTTACAAAAATCCGTGTTTTGTTTAGAACTATTTGTAATATTATTAATAGATAATCCTTCTTTAAGAATGGTTGATTGGCAAATATCTAGTAGTAGCAGAAACTTATTTACTCTGATTGCTCTTTAATCTGATGGGTGAACTGTTGCATTTGTTTCGCAATAATCTAAGAGTTGTAAAGCAAGGTGATTATATATTGTGAATTTTTATAGACATGTAGAGATTTTACATCTGAGGAGACATCTTTTATATATTTCAAGGTGAGACATTAACATATATAGTTTTTTATTTTTAGATAAACATTATATTGATGTACTTGACTTATAAAAACTTGTATTTAAAATGCTTGAAAATAGTGTCAAGTGTTGGATTAAAATTTTGGGAAAAATGGGGGTTGTTTATTGAGTTTTCGCAAAACCGTTAGAGATGTATTACTTTTTGTTGTATATTTGTCCTTTACATGTAATTTACTAATCAAGATGTTGATAGTGGGAATCAATTTTGTAAAAAGTAGTATTCAAACGATATTTTGTTTTATATCTGTTATGTGGAACATTTGTTTGAAGGTTTGTGTAAAAGCTTACTTTGTTCAATTGTTTAGGTTGGAGCAAGGTGTAAATGATTTTTTTCATAGTTTGTAAGAATTGACTCTTGTGCTTTTCTAATTTACCTGAGGTGTTAGAAGAGGGAAATTTTTGAATGTAGAGTTTAAATTTCATTGCTTGTGAGACTGTTTCTGATATTTGATTCTGCTCCTGAAACCATTAAAAAATCAATTTCAAGGTCTGGTGATTTTTTTTTGTATTTTCTAAAAGGAGTAGAATTGTCCAAACTTTTTCTTTTGGTGTTTATATTCTGTTTGTGGTGTTTTGATATATATTGTTCATATTGGAAATTTTTTCAACAATGCGTGGAGTATAATTTTTTGTGTTTTGATTTTTGATTGGTTCTTCGGGATTAGAATTGCTTACAATTTTTTGGTACTAATTGGAATTGATTGGTGTTTCGTTTCGTTTTTGATGTGAAGCATGTTTATTAAAAGCGTATTTTCCGCTTCATTTTCGTCATCTGTAATTTCAGAGTTAATGTGGTTTAATTGTAATTCTGAATTTTTTGAAATGTCGATTCCAGGAGGGTCCGGATGGGTTTCTACTGTTGATTGTACTTTATTAATTTGTCTTTTGTGTTTGGGTGTACTACATTTTTTTTCTTAAACTGTTAGTTCTTACGATTGTTGGGTGGTTATCTTAACTTGGGGCAGAGATTGTCGAGGAAGACGGGTTGGAGAAAGAGTATACCGATTAGTTAGAATGATGTTTATTTTCTCGTGGCTCAGTTTTTTTATGAAAATTTTCGAAATCTTACTTAGGGGATTGGTTTATGATCAAGGGTTGGAGAATAGTAAATCAATCTACAAGGTTCTGGTATAAGCAGAACACAAGTAGATTGTTAGATACTATCTCAGAACTTACTAATATCATAAAGTTTTAGCCTAGGTCAGTTAAGAGGAAAGGCTCAAGTGAATGATGAGTAATCGAAGTTCTTCACTGTTTGTCCTAATTATATTGGTTAATTTACTAAAATTTCTATTAGTCCTCGGTTTTTATAAGTATTGGAGAGTGAATCGACGTTTGAAGTCGCTAGGCACTCTGAAATATGAGGTGGGGAGAACAAAGCTATTCTTTTTGATCCAAGGGAAGCCATGATGATCAAATAATTTGAGTGAAAGAAATTTTAATATAAAGTTGAATTTGAATATTCAAGGAAAGCCTTGATGATCTGTTTTAAAGATTAATAAAAAGCAAGGATAGGCCTTGGTAAGTTTTTTGATTAAAATTTTAAGTTTACCAAATATTTTAAATTTGAAGATGTGTTTAAGAGTTATGAGTTTAAATGATGATAGTTTTGAATAAATTTGGTTATGTTTTAAGTGATGAAGCGAAGATGAAGAAAAATGAGTTCTTGATAGGCAACAAATTTTTTGTAAATAATTATAAGAAGTTCTAAAAAATTAACTTTTAAAATTTCTATTGCTAATTTTTTCTATTTTATTCAATAAACTTTTAATTTTACAAGTGTTCAAAATTAATGTACTGCAGGTTTTGATGAAAAGAACGACTTGTGTACCTTTTTATCAGCAGTTTTTTTGTTATATAAAATAGTTATAAAGCACCAAGAAGAATATTTAAAAAGTTAAATTTTTTCTTCAAGTAGAATTATTCTCATGTCAAGGAATGAAAATCTAAGTTTACTGAAAAGGATTGGGAAGACAAATACTCTTTGCGGTTTGCATCATACTATCAATCAGTATTTTGGTCTGTCGTTCAATCGATGATCACGTCGTGATTTAGTTCCTTGTTCAATACCTGGTATTTCTCGTTTAGTTTGAAATATTGGCGTAGATTTATCAAATCCTATGGCCTATCAAATTGTCTATTCCATCTAACTTTTTGCAATTTTAGTTTTTTTTCTAATTCTAATTTTACTGATTCCAACTTAGTTAGGACTTGTTCGAGACTTTTGGTAGCACCAGATGAGTTTAAGCCAGAGGTAGCTTTTCTCGTAGAGTAATTTCAGATAAGGTACACCGTATGTTCGTCACGCTAATTTATTTTCGGCCGGATAGATTCGTGCAACTTCTTAGTCTAATACCAAGCTTAATCTTACTCTTATATCTCTTATATAAACACTCGTTTAGAACTGGTTCCATTAGCCACAAGAAGATTTTGCTGATGAAGTTTAATGCAAAGCCGATTCTGATAAAAATTGTGTATATCTAGTTGCGTGTTAAGCAATTCGCCGTGAGCAACATCTTTTAGAAACTTAGCAGGCTTTGAACTTTTTTAAAATTGGTGTTGCGGCTATAAAAAAAGTTCACTTGACACGTTATTGATTTCTTGCAGATATAGTTTTGTATGTTTTGTTTTCAAAATAAGCCAGCAATCAACTTTGGTCATTTCCTTGTAAAAAGTACTAACGATATATCTGTGAAGATGTCACTTTAGTAGAATAAGGTAATGATGGCTGCCTTCTTCTCAACACTTCATTAGTTTAGTTTCTCTCGCAATAAAACTTTTTCCAGCTGCGCTCTCATAAAATTATTAAGAAATAGGTTTCCAGTGAAAATGTTCTGAAATCAATTTGCAATTCAAGTTTGATTTTTTCGTGAGATTTGTTTTTGTGATATATTTGGTTTTTAGTAACAAAGTACTCAGCATGCAAATATAACAAATAAATAAATCATCTCATTTCTTGTTCTTACTTGCTGTAGACTTTCGTATGTTTCTTGATATCAAATGTTACTGTTTTACATAAAGCTTTGACAACCAAGTTGCCACTAAGTTTTTTTGTTATAAGTTTATATGTTCTTTTATTATAGCTCGTGACACACTTTTTTGCACGTGATGGTGATGTGAAGCCGTATATAGAGGCATGTTAGCTTCAATTTTTATTCTCTTTGCTAATTTTGTAGACATGTGAACACATTTGAATACGCAGGCTTTGTTTGAAGGCGTACTAGTTCTGATGACAGAAAAATTATATTTAAAAAATTAACTCTCAGTAAAAATAGATATGCAGTTACAAAAATACTTATTACAAAAAAAATATTTTGAACATTATTTTGAAGCCTTTATCTAGAGTTTCGAAGCTTTATGGTCAAAGCCTAAATTTTGTTGACCAAGAACTCTTTCGAGAACTGAGAAAGCTCCTGTCAGATTATTAAAGTAGCTGACAAACCAGTCATCAAGTTGTGACAACGATTTTTAAATTTTCGACCTCTAGATTGGGGTTCGCAGATTTGTTTGCGAGCTCCAGTGCTTTTTCTTTTCTTAGTTTATCAATCACACGAAGAAATCATGAGCAAGCTGGTGGAAAAACGAAGTGGCACATCATTGGGAACAACAAACGATTTCCTGGAGTTCGGAAGAGAACTGGTTATAGATAATTGCATTGGCGAAACACTTCCCTTGTTTTTGTCAAGTTACGATGAGTCGGAATTGTCTGACGAAGTGACACGGAATGCGTTTTCAAAAGTATACGCAGCGTTGAGGAAATTGGACGAGCCAATAGTTGTTCTGTGTGGTGTCAAATTTAATCGCGAGCAATTCCGGATTTGGAATGATGATACAGACGCCGAAACAAATACGCATGATAAAGACAACCCACTATTTTCGGTTCTTGAAGGAAAGAGCGATTTCACAATTTTGGGACCTAACTATCTTGTCCTGATTGAGGTTAGTGAAATGAAGTCCGATGCAAATGTCCAAATGTTTAAGAAAGATATTTCAATCAAAATGCAGTATCAGAAGAAGTCAATTGAATTGATTGAGAAGATTTTATCAAGGCCAGAAAAATCTGCTTCATTGATGAAACTGTTCAAGACATTCTCTTTCATTTGTTTTCCTCTCATTGAAAAAGATACAGACTTTCTGGACCTTTCAAACGCGTGTCCGAAACAAGAAACCACGGGTTGCATAACTAGGCTGGAGCTGGAAGAAATCCAATTATGGTGGGATACAAACGTTAAAAATCAAATATCTGCCAGAAATGATTCAATAGGCGATGACTCACTTGTGACTTTAGTTCTGCCTGTCTTATTAGTATTTTGTTCTGTCAGAGATCAAACTATTGAGAGTCTACCAGAGCGAATCGAGGAGGATAAATCTGAAAAGGTTGAAAACAGGAACAAAACCCAGCCATCTGGCGACAAAAAGGACCATGAGACGAACTCAGTGATAGCAGAATCGAAAATAAAACTTGAGCGGGACAATTCTGGCTGGGATTTTGATGAAGTTGGGAGCGGGCAGCATGGAGAAAACATTTCGGCTGAAAAAGTGTCCCCACGCTCGGAATATTGTGATCAGAAAAACTGGTTGGCTTTATCAGTCAAAACAGCCACAACTTCTATTTCTGATATTTCATTTTTGTCAGCTACACAAATCAGTTTTAGCAACCACACAAAAATGCAATTCAGAACCAAAACAGATTACATTGAAAACGGAAGACCAATATTTGAAAAATACTGTCTGGACAAAGACTTGCCCTTATTTTTCCCCAATAAACCTTCAAGGGAAATCCTTCCATTACTTTCCGACTTAGAGCAAAGAAAAGAATACGACAATGTCAACGATTGGTATGGCCTCAAAAAAGTTCACAAAATCTTGGCAAGTCTTAAACAACCAGTTTTGGTTCTTTGTGATCTCAGATACAATCACAACCAGTTTCATTTGTGGGACCCGGATTATGATCCTGAGGCATGTGCCGAAACAAAAACTGTTCCAAATTGTTCCATCGAACATAGATCAAAAGTAGTCGCAAACAACAATTTTCTGTTGTTTGGGCCTGACTATGTGGTTATAATTGATGTCCATTCCTCAGTTTTGAACGCTGATAGCAGAAAAGTTCCAGATCTGAATCTCAATAAAAAGATATCGAACCAACAAACCTCAGTTGAATTTATTCGCAGAATAGCTTCGGTAAAAGAATCAGATACAGATAAGATAACTGATTTTAAAGTTTTCAGATATATTGCGTTTCCTCTAGCTGACGAAAACAAGGTTTTCTTGAAAACAAAACTGCTGAGAGAAAGAGGGGAGAAAATGGGAGTGATATGGAAGAAGGATTTGAATAGTTTCGATGAATGGTGGGCTGACAACATCATAAGCTCAGCGTCTGAGCAGTGTGAAATTGTTACAGGTAAGATAAATAATTTTTATATTGCACAATGTTCTTTAATATGGAAAAGATTGGGATCCTCGTAATTTTGGAAAGAGCTTTTGCAAACATTTTCTATTGAAAAAGTTTTAGCATCTGTCGCGCTTTTGGCAAAAACTATTGATGCCACATCTCAAATTTTGATGTAGCGGTTAGCTTACCAGGTATGGTTCGAAGGTTTTATTAGCTGAGAACAAATATTTAATAGCGTGATCTTCTTTTTCTCTCTCTTGAACCATAATCACAACATAAATAAACAAGTCAAGGTCTTTTAAAAATCCCCTGGCCTCAGTATGTTAGGGTACTATCATAAAATCTAATTTCCATAATACTGCATAAGTAGTCGATAGTGTCGGAACATCTTGATAGCGTTCATATAAATGAGAGGTTTGAATTTTTGTCAAAAATTCAGCGCATCAAATTAGCATATCCCAAAAAATGGAGATATGAGTTTCCGAGTTTCAAATTTGAATGAGATTTTTTCATAAATGATACGAACTCTACTTAGTACAAAAGTTCTTCTTCTTTTCGTAATTTTGCTCACCATTCTTGTCTATTTTTTAATTTTGACAATTTTTAAATGCATAGAGAAGGCAATAGTTAACTTCGCAATAGCAACACTTTCGCTAAAATGTTTGCAGAAGATCATTATGCAGAACAAAGACTTTAAAAAATTAAGAACATATAAGGCACAAATTTAAAAAGCTAATCAACGCCCTATCAAAGAATATGCAACAACTACTACGTCCCAAGACCCTACAACCATGCTGATTTTTAGTTAAACAATCCAACCCCAATCATCTACACTTATCTCGTTAGTAGAAAATCCTTATTTATTTAAAGAAAAGCACGCATCACTATACGAACCGTTAATTCAAGCAATTTGTCAAGCACCCCTAAGAGAGCCACAGTTAGAGCCAGCATATAGCATCTGCCCCTCACTTAAACAAGATTCTAATGGAACCAGACATCTAAGCCAAATTAAAAATGGACATCTACATTCAATGGACAAATTATTCACCCTCGACGAAACCAAAATCTTGACACACCATGAATTCATTTTGACATACCCTCGTCACCATCATCAACTCCTTTAGATCTTTCTAGCTACAAAGACCCCTCTATCAGTTCAAACAATTTCCCAACAAAATATCCCAAATATTCTATCAGATTTTTTAGTTTTAACACTACTTCCTGAGGTTTAACAATTTCGTGAAAATCTTTAAATGCATTAATCAATCGCAAAGACTTCCACATTGGATGACACACACATTTTCTTAAGGTGAACAAAAATTTGCTAAACGAACCCATAGACATTTCATCAGACACATTTTTATCATTTCCAGAAACTCTATCACTTCCATCATAACCTTCAGTAACAAGTGAAACACCAACTACTACACTCCCCAATAACCAAGACGACCGATATCGTGAACTTCAAGGTACAAGTATGCCGTAATGATTAGATTGGAATACCTTTGTAGCAACCCATCCACGTTTTGGCCAACACCTCGATAGTATCGACTTTATAATTGAGCACTTAACAGCTTACAAAACAGTCACGACTTCCACAAAGACATACAAGAACATACAATCCAAATCTTTACCCAACATAATTTAAATTTTCATTATTTTTTGTTATCATCGACACCTATATTAACTGGTCAAACACCAGCCACTAAGTGTCCCTCAAACATCCCTAGAAAACTAGACGATAGATATCGTGAACTTTTAATTACAAATATCCTTTCATGCTTAGATTGGAAAACGTTTGTAGCACACCCTTCCCTGTTTGTACAACATCTTCATAGTAACAGACTGTATAATTGGATCAGAATCGAAAACAGTCTAGACACGACCTCCGCAGGGACAAACATGAACCTAATATACAAATTCTTGAACAAGATAACTTAACCCTTAAATTTGAAAAAACAGTAAAAGTAAAAATTTTAGTTCATCACACTCTGACACTAGCTTCACCAAAAATATCAGCTCAGTCTTTGCCCTCTCCAGTTATTACAACAAAACTTATCTACAAATAAGATAGATATACAAAAAAGACAATAGGTTATATAATTTCTATAATCCTTTTTCAGGATTATCATACACATGCATCTCTTAATAGTTTTTTTTAAAAAGTCCTTTTGCCCTCTTGTACTTTTACAGCCTATATCTCATCAAAACCCTTCCCCTCGAAAAAAAACACAAAATTCCTGCTTACACATTATAATTGTGAAGAAAACCAAACAAAAAACACTACATAAATACACAATTAATCACGTTACACAATGCTAATCTGAACGACAAGACATCGACTAAACAAATATAGTGACTACATTTATCTCAAAATTTTGAAATACAACTATCCTTAAAGTATACAGTATAGTCTTGTCTGTAGATGCAGCGGAAACTAGCTGTTTCAGCGAGTTTACGTAGGTTTGATCCAGTTTACGTAGGTTTGATCTTTAGTGAGAAGATCTTTGAAATGTTGCGTTCTAATTTGATGTTGTAAATCTGATTTAGAGAATACCTATTGATTGTTTGGGTACCAGAGACTGCTCGTATGC